TATCCTCAAATTGAGGTTCACCGCATACCTGTGCCTAAAATTGATTGAAGCATCCATAGATGGAAGTATATTGAATAAAAGGGTGCTAGCGGTCTACAAATGTTGTAGTGATTATTGTGCCGTGATTAGTGTCATTTTTTAATGACATTTTAACGTGTTTGGTGCAGTGAAAATATAATTTAGGGACATATTAAGTGGTATATAATATTTGATTGTGTATTTAAATTTAAGTCACTTATTTTGAACAGGAAGTAGGCAAACTGTGACAGGCCACTTACACAATTTTTGAAAGAATTTTATATTAGTCTGTATATTTTAAAAATGGCCGCATTTGATTTAAAAGCAGCTTTATTGCTATTACCTATAGTGAATCGGGATGAAAAAATTATAAAAAGCCTTTTAGACGGCATTGAGTTTTACAAAACCATCCTTAGGCCTGATGACCATACCTTACTAATAAATTTTATATTAAAGACGAGACTCTCTAGTTGTGCCAAATTAAAATTAAAATCAAACTACGATAATATTAATAATTTAACGGAGGATATAAGAAAAATTTTATTACCAAGTAAATCGTATACATTTATTTTAACGCAACTACAAAAATGTAGGCAGGGTAATAGAACAATTTTAGAGTTTGGGGATGAAATTGAAAGGTTGTTTGTTGAATTAACAATTGCCCAAGCGGGGGGTTTGAACACCGCGTATGATATTCTATTGCCCATAAATGAGAATATTGCAATTAGGCAATTTGCATACGGGCTAAACGATAGTAGGTTGACAATGTATATAATATGTAGAAATATATCAAATATACAAGAAGCTGTCAAAACAGCAATAGAAGAGGAGGAATTCATTCCTAAGAACTTCCAAACGTGTTTAATAAATAAAATAAATTATGACGCGAGAGAATTTGATCGCAGAACAAATCAATGTCAAGCGAAGCGTAATAATACTAAGGCGCGAAGTCAGCAAAATACAATAATGCATAGTAAAGAAGGTCGCGCAGTTTGTTATAGTAAGCATATGAATTACGTCAAAGCGTCAGCTGATAGTAGGAATAGCGATAGAAAGACATCGTTAGATTTTGTTCATGGAAATAAGAATACCGAAATTTTAGCTTTTAACACAAATAATGTAGTTAAATTTAATTGTTTTAATAAGGATATATTTTTGATAGCAGACTCAGGAGCGTCAATGTCTGTTTTAAAGTACGATTGGTTAAAAAATTTGCCTTCAATTAAGATTCATAAAGATAACGCTATAATAAAAGGCGTATGTGGTAATCTAGAGGCAATGGGATTTGTTTACCTGAATCTTGAATTTCAGAAACTGCAATTTAGACAAAAGTTTTATGTATTTAAAGAATTACAGTGCAGTTCCCATGGTATATTAGGAGAAGATTTTTTAATACAATTTAAAGGTATTATAAATTTTGAATTGGGCTGTTTAAGTGTAAAGCCCCACGGATCACTTGATAGGGTCCGTATACCTTTTCAAAAAAGAAAAAATGGTATAAAATATGTTAATTTTCCTAATAAAAGGAAAACTGATTATATTGTGGAAAATGGAAATTGTGCGAAAAATAGAACAACGGACCAATTATCGAAAATAATTGTAACGTCCGATGAGTTAAAAGAATTAAACTCATGCTGTTCAAGCGTTAAGCAAGGTCCAATTAAAAAAATTCATAAATGTTCTCAAGTGAAAATAAAATCTAGTCCATCAAAGATGGTAGAAATTACTAGAAAATCACAGTTTCGTGTGAAAGTAAATATTTGTAATAAGGAGACATTAGGAAAAGTGTTAGGTATGCATAATATGCATGATAATGCGTGCAATGTAGTTCTATCCGGATCTATAATATATTTAAATCAAACGTCTCTATTAACAAAGGTGGGCGTAAATGAATCATTAAGAGAACTTGTAGAGATATGCAAGGATCATAATATTATGGAAGTTATAATTATTAAAAATATGTACAATAAGTCTCAAGTTAATAAGTTCTGTCGGTATATACAGAAGTATGCTGAGTTTTTACGATTATGTAGGTATACTGTAAAATGTATAGATAAGTATAGTAAGTCAATAAGTACAGATAATGAAGTGAGCATTGTCACATTGGCCAATAATGTAAAGCATAAAATTTCTTAAAATTGTTATAGAGTAAAAGGCCTAATTTTAATTTTTGGTTACTACTTGTTTAGTAGAAAACAAGATCTGTTAGATGATGACAAATATGTATTAATAATACAATGTATTTATAAAAGTTTGTATTTTTTTTGTACTCAGGTATGATATACCTTGAGAAATTGTTAAGTTAAATTAATCCTTGGTGCTGTTTTTTTTGTCTTTTTGTATGTTTAAATAATAAAATTGTCCTTGTAATGTTAAACTTTCAGAGGGAGGGGACACCCTCACCATAGACACCCTACTTTTCAGGGGAGGTGTGGTATAGTGATGCAAATCAGCACGTTCAGTAAAAGATTGTGCGAGTGTACGTTTTGTATAACGACACGTAGGTCACGCAGTACCTCATATATATAGTTTATGTAATTAGTGTAAGCTAGAGTATTCAAGATGTAACAGTTAAATATACAAGTTACACCCTACTGTGTGTGTTTACTCTCACCACAGCTCCTGTCATCACAATATTTTTAGCTGAAATTTTATATTTACTAAGTTAGAGAGGCAATTCAAATTTTATATTAAACAAATGTTATATAAAAAAGCCTATTATAGGATAGATGAATTTATAGATGATAGCAATATATAGCAAGTATAAGTTTATTTGCGGACAACGTTATAATTTATTTTTCATACTGCTTTCTTGATATATGATAGCGTAGCGGCTTTTGTATTGATTGCCGCATGCATCCTCATGTAAAGTGCGAATACAGTAACTACCATATAGTAATTTTTGTAGCTGTGACGTGGTCGAAAGGAATGACTAGTCATGCTCACTAAAATGTCCAGACATGTGGCGGGCGTGGTGGGCCGGGTCATTGGGCTCCCTAAAATATGGTCGAGCGCAGTGATGGCTGGCTCATCCGTGATACTCGTGAACGAGTGCTGCTTGTAGGGACTGGTCTGCTCTTATTACTACGACTGGTTTAATCTTATTATGTTTTTATATCTTATTGTGTTTCTAAATAAATTAGTGCTGGTTGGTAGTTTGTATTCACACGTTTCGACTTGTAAAATGTGAACTTACATGGATTGTTTAAAAGAGCAACACACAAGTTTCTTGCTTATTCTTCTTGTGATGAGACAGCTTTCCAAATAAGCGGTAGATTTAAAAAAAAAAAGTTGATTAACAAAAGTACTTAAATTAAGTTTATTTGAATAATTCTATTCTATTCATTTTCAATCATTCCGAGGACCCAATGACCTTCTATATGTCTTCTTCTATTATACTTTCTTTTTCCAAATTTTGACTCATCAATTTGAACAATTTTATTGGGTCCTCCGATTTTGGATTCATAAGTTTGTTCATAAATTATTATTGTTTCTCGACAATACCTGTACCAGTCGGCAATCGTTTTAGTTGATCTTCATAGGTTGCACCATGGCTAAATAGGTACATCATTTGAAAAGCAATGCTTAATGTCAGATGCACATTTTCAAACCAAGTCCCCTGAGCAGTGACACTGGTTTCGTTCTGCAGTTACTCTTGGTACATCTGAAAAAGCCCAATTGGCCATGACTTGCGCTTGTAAGCGATATCATATTGCTTCTTTGAATTATCAGATAAAGAGGCACCCATCACTTCGGTAGATGTAGGGGGAACGCCGCGCTTCAATAGTGCTGTCCGGATAACTTGCCAGCAACCAGGGTAAATCTGGGAAGATGGCGATTGCTGTGGGTAATTGAAATAATAGGTTCATCTTCAGGTTGAAATGTTAATATATCTGATACTAGTAAACTTTCAAAAAGTGGATACCAAGGTTGTGTTGTCCATAGGGGTACAACAGCAATACATTGAGCGTTATCAGCTAATATCTTTCTTAACGTTTTTAATATCGCACATGGAGGAAAGGCATAAAAATTTAACTCCTGCCAATCTAAAGTAAACACATTAATGGCATATGCGTCTGGATCTTTATTCCACGACACGTAAGCTGTACACTTTTTATTGAGACGTGTAGCAAACAAGTCTATAGTAGGAATGCCAAAAGTATTTGTTATCCGTTTGAAAGTCTCATTGCTTAGTTCCCATTCCATGTCGGGGTGATTCCGCCTAGATTCTGCGTCGGCGATATCGTTATCTTTGGGACTGACATATGAAGCAAAAATATATAATTTTCTTACTTCACACCATTCCCACATGTCCTTAGATATCCTATTTAAATGAGGGAACCTATTGTCCTACGTATTGTCGATTCGTAATAGAACTTGACAATTAAATAAATGTTTTGCAAATATTTTTAAACCGAATAACGCAGCTAGTGACCGTAACTAGAGTAACCATCGCGGATGTGTCCGGCAACAAATTTTTTGTTCTTAAAACGATCCAAAGTGTTGTAATCTCAAAAAAATTTTTGTGAAACCTCATTAGTGTAAACTATAGACAACGATATACTTCTATTTCTACTAAAAATAGTGAATAAAAACAGTGATTACTATAGAAATAGCCCAAACATAATATTAAACTACCGCCAACAAATTTTATATAACAATCAGTGAAGTGACTTTACAAAAACGCGTAAACGACGCGTTCTGCACGGCGCTTACGACCCTCTTCTCGCGAAGTCAGCAGCTTTACTAAAAGAGTGAATCGTTTTTGTATTAAAGTACAACAAATACCAGCTTCATAATATTAACACATTGACGAATACGAAACATATTTTTATAAACCTGACAACTGTAAAAATCCAGAATAGCCATGCCTCTAAAACGTACACCACCCACTTCACCAACAAAACAGGTTATAAAAAATAATGAACTTTATTCTAACGTATCACACTCCGGTTCAACTCCAAATCTACCTAGCATGCAAAATGACAACGTCACTATATCTGCGTCCAGGCAAAAAAAGGAGACGGGAAGAGGACAACACGTCGCTCGTGGATGAATTCCGTTCTCATCTAGCAGAGAATAAAACGCAAAATGACAAGAAATTTGCTAGTCTTCAAACTGCTATACAAGAAGTTATCACACAAAACAACGACATAAAGGAATCTATATCATTTATTTCTAAGCAATATGAGGACATGAAGGACAGAGTGCACAGCTTGGAATCGGAACGTAAGGCCGATCATCGTCACATTCAAGAACTTGAAGAAAAGATAGATAGCTTAGAACGAACACTCTATTCCACCAAAATTGAGGTACGGAATATTCCTCAAAAGCAGGGTGAATCTAAAGAAGATTTGTGTAATCTCTTAATGCAAACTACAGATGTTATTGAGTCACCAATCCAGCGGCAGGATATTAAAGACATATATAGAACAGGAAAAAAAGATGGGATGCTACCGATCGTTGTTGAACTGGCAAGCAGTATTATAAAGGACAGCATCATCAAAAAAGCAAGAATATATAATAATAAAAATACACAAAACAAATTAAATACCTCCCATCTAAAATTAAAAGGACAAATAAAGCCTTTGTATATATCTGAACGGCTAACGCCCAAGACTCAACATATCTACTACCTTGCTCGTATGTTTGCCAAAGAAAATGGTTTTAAATACTGTTGGACATCATTCGGAAAAGTTTTTTTAAGATTGAATGATGGGAAGCAACATGTACTGATCCGAAATGAATCAGATTTAACTAGTTTATCTCAAAATAAATGACTAAAATCCTATTTAACTAAATGTCACTACTTTCATCATTACTTCTGTGATCTGAATTCATTTCAGGATCGTAGGTTCGTATCTAAGTTACAAAATTGCACTCAAAACCCACTTACACTTTACACAAGACAACTATTATATAACAAATTCATAACCAAAAACACTACAACACATAAATCCCATAAAAACAGTTCAACACATAATAAAAAACGCCATACCCTCATTCTAGAAATAGAATCTTCATATAAATATAAAACTGGCTTTAATCTTCTTTTAACGGTACTAGATTATCATAGAAAATTACCTGAATACATAGATGCAGTTGAATGGAACATTAATCTTTTAATTTGCAAAAATGGCTAACTCGGATCAAAACATACCATCGGAATTAGATAATATAACGGTTGCTTCAGCGTACAATTGTGACACCGAAACATGCAATAGATTAATGAAAAATACATCGCAATCATTAAATATAGTCACACAAAACATTCGTAGTATATATAAAAATATGGATAGCTTTTTGTCTCAAATGTCTAGATTTGAATTCGAAACAGATATATTGATTTTGACAGAATGTTGGCTAAATAGTGATAAACCAATTCCCGATTTTGATGATTACTTTAATTTTAGTTCCCAAAAATGGCACAATCAAAATGATGGCGTTGTAATATATGTTAAAAATCACATAAAATGTTCTGTCGTTGAACCTGATATGTCAGGTGCAAATTATCTCGTCTTGAAAATAGAACCAGATATCTACATAGTTGCTATTTATAGATCGCCATCGTACCAATGCACTGACTCGTTTCTTAATTCAATAGAAAATATCATAGCTCCAATAAACAAAAGAAAAAATAGTATTATTATAATAGGCGATATAAATATAGACATAAAACAGGGCAACAAGGACAGAAATAGCTCAACATATATGGATCTAACTACTGAACTAGGACTATTACCAGCTCATACTTTTCCCACTAGAATGCATAATTGTCTGGATCATATAATGTTGAAAACAGAATTACCTGCAAGTGCTTTTGTTGTCGATTCCACGATCACAGATCACAATCTGGTTCTATTAAATCTCTCTACATCTTACACTAAATACGTTAAGAACTTAAGCAACCAAATAAAAACTAATTTTGACGCTGCCGTCAGATATCTTGAGACAGTGGATATCTCATTCATACGACCTGATTCTGATCCCAAAGAAGCTACAGCTACGTTTACAAAAACTATTTCTATAGCTATAGCCATAAATTCCAACCCTCGTCATAATCCCTGTAGAAAAAGGATAATAATAATAATAATAATAATAATTTTTATTTCAGACAACATGATCCATTGTGTTAGTAACAGCTTAATGACATAACTTATCCTATGTTAGTAATAAAATATATAATAAAATAAAAATGTAACTTTTAACATATTACCTGTCCCACCCAGTGTCTTAGAATGGGACAGTCTACTTTACAAGCAATTGTCTTCAGGACACTGTTGGAACTCGCCCGCACTCTGCCTAATAGGGACGTTATTCGCTTCCGCCGTATAGCATAGAAATCGTCTGTGCGCTCTTGCGCAAACATATGTGACGCGCTGCAGTGGCGGGGCAGCCCCATTGTTATATTGAACGCGAAGAGCATTGTAGGTTTTTTGAGTATAGTTGACCCACAAGCCGCCAGTGTAGAAAACCTGACAAAATGCCTTAAAAAGTGTTATTTTGACTTGTTTTGTACACCGGGCAAACCTGCGTGCCAACATATTACTTCTAACTGCCAATGCTCTTCTTTCACGTTCTATGTCCATATCATCTTTTAATGTGGATGTAACAATATGTCCAAGATATTTAAAATTTGAAACAAGGTTCAATATATTCCCATTGAGTGATATAGGAGGCACATAATCCGGTTTTTTACTTCCAGATGCAAACACTATAATCACACTCTTGACAGAATTATAAACTAATCCATGACTTTCTGCATACGATTCACATACAGCTACCATTTTCCTTAAAGCTCCAATTGAGGGGGCCAACAATACCATGTCATCTGCATAGCTTATATTGTTGATACTAAGTCCATCGATATAGCAACCAGCATGCATACCGCTGAGCTCCTCTATTAAACTATTGACATATAAACTAAAAAGGTTAGGTGAGGTCAGCCCACCCTGTCTCACTCCGCATTTTAAATGGTATGGGTCAGACAGAGAATTATTCCACTTCACCTGGTTGCATTGGTTATTGTACCAATACCTAAGAATCTTTACTAATTCTACGGGTAGAGTAGTATTCTTAAGCTTACTCCATAAAACATCATAGGACACCATATCAAAAGCCTTGCTTAAATCAAGGAAACAGGCATAGACAGGAGTAGATCTTTCTGTGTAATATCTGACTGTGTGCTTGAGACATAAAATAGCAGACTCTGTTGACACCCCCTGCCTGAAACCAAACTGCAGGTCATGCAGGTTTAGGTGTCGTGTGAGTTGTGAGTCAAGCAAGCAATCAAACACCTTTGCAGTTATTGTTGCTAAAGATATAGGTCTATAATTTCCCGCGTTTGATACGTCTCCCGTTTTATTCTTAACTATTGGTACAACAACCGTTTTTAGCATATCGTCTGGCAAATATGTGTGCGCTTTACATTTTGTGTATAACATCGAAAGTACCTACTCTAGGCAAGTGATCTCCTGCTGCCTGATATGTTCGAAACTGAGACCGTCATGTCCCGTGGATTTTCCTTTTTTCATATTCTTTATAACAAGTTTAATATCCTCAGATGTAAATCTATGCACCTCACTATTCACACCCTCACTGAAAATGTTGGTGGTTGACTGTGATGGAGGCAGAGATGAGTTCACCTTAAAGTTATTTTTAAACATATCAGCTATTTGTTTACAGTCCTTAATCCCATTAATACTAATAGGTATAGAGGGTCTACCACTCAACTTGTTTGTAGCTCTCCAGAACCCACCAAAGTCGTTGTTGGACCGGTGAAGAGCTAATGCATCCATTTTCATCTGGTCTTGGTGATTGAGACACTATTTTAATTTACCTTTAAACCTTTTACGACTTTCACACATTTCGTCATACACAACACCCACGTTCGGCCTGCCATATAATTCCCATACTAAAAATTTAATTCTCGCCTCATTATGTGCCTCCCTAACATATTTATTCCACCCAGATACCCGTCTTCGCCCCCTACTCCCACCGGCCTGTCGTGACTTCGGACTGCAGCCTCTGATAATATGTTCACTATGTTACTATACAATTGATTTATTATATCTCTGTGAGTTAAGTCACTACAGTATCCATCACAACAGCCAATTAGTTTTTCTGAGAAATCAATATTTTTTAATTTTTCATTACAAAAACTATTATATGTATTTATCTGTTCATTGTTTCTACTACCCCAAACTACTTTATTACAAACTTTTTTATTAATGGAAATTTTCGGTTTTAAAAGATTTACATTACATTTTATTTCAATAGGGAAATGATCAGACCAATAAACATCATACAGTATGTCTACATCAACAGTGGACGCCCATGCAGCTTGTGTTACTAGAACATGATCTAGCCATCTTTTCGTTCCATGTGCATCACTAATAAATGTATAACAGTCCGATTGTAAACCTAGTTTCTGTATATCCGCACAGATAAGCTGTTGTTCCGAACAAAAGTTTAAAAGTTCCTTACCGAATTGTCCATCTGGGTGCGCATTATAGTCTCCCAGAATAAAAACAGATTGCACATCATTATTCTCAACAATTGCACAAATCTCGCCCAAACAATGTGTGAACTCCGTTAAATTATCACTATTAACTGTGGGCATGTAAACACTCATAATGACCATGTCTTTATCACTAGTTTCCACTTTAATTGCTGTTATTCGCGAGTTTTCACTATTAATTATCGATACCGAATTAAAAACACTTTTTCTCCATAAAATTGCGACACCTCCGAATGGTCTGCCGTGAAGTATACCCACTGAAGTATCTACAGAAGACTTTCCAGTGTATCCAAAATCATCATGTATACTGTCCAAAAAATGTATGTCATGGGGAAGAAGCCAAGTTTCCTGCAAAGCGACGATATCGGACTTCTCACACAATGATTTTATACATTCTGCCGATCGCTTCACAGATTTACAATTAAATGATATAAAAGATAACTGTGTTGTATTATCCACTTTTATTTTATAAATTATATCTTATCACCTTTTACGAGTGTCTTTTTAAAAGTCACAAATCGACGAAAGGAAATACCATCCGGCCACAGACCCGCATCCATAAAGATAGAAAATTTACTCCGCGGTATGTATACTTTGTATGCATCGTATTCCTTCTGTAGTTTCATGCTAATTTTTTGTAGAGTTACAGGCACGTTAGTTTTTTGCAGTATATAGGTAGCAATGTCATCCGGTGATGTATTCTTGTCAACATTATTGATAAATAGCGGTATCTTTATATCTGCTGCTCGAAATTTTCCATTGGGTTCCATACAAGCTTGACCTCTTTTTCCCATAAATCTATTCTTCAATTTCTTTTTTTGCACTATTGTCCAATTTTCTGTCTCTTTTATATTTTTCCAAGCTTCATTGGTAACAATATTCGCATATGATTTTTCCATTACTAATGGATGGGAGACTCGATCATTACTTTCAACTATGTTCATTGCTATACCGGTTGACGTGATTGGTGCGTTCGGTGGCGCTACTCCTCCCGCGCCCGCTTGCACCTCATCTAATACCTGCTGCTGTTTAAACGACGGTTGATCAACTGTATCTCCTACCCGCACACAAATATTGTTTACTGTACTATTCAATAAAGCATTAGATTGCTTTGTCAAAGGAATATTTGTATCGCAATTATTACTTAAGTTCTCATTTCTTTCTTCCTGCGATATATGAAGCAACCCAATCGGCCCACTGTCATAATGAAAATTATCAATTAAATTTAAACCACCTCTTTTCGTGATTACATATTGTGTT